GAGGGAGGGAGGGAGGGAGGGGTACATATGTAGACGCACATGTATACATGAAGAGTTCATCTTTGTTACATGAACTATGCATATATCCAAGCTAGAGGAGCCACCGCTTCCCCCGCTTTCTTCCTTGACGGAACTGCAGAAAAGATCCTGGCAAGATCGAAGCCTCAGAGGCGCCAGGGTTTAGGATTTAGGGAGTATGTGCAAGTGGCAAGCTGAAGACAGCTTTGCAGCTGACAGGCGTTGGAAGGGTCTGACAGCTTCAAGCAAAGTTTGACAGGCTGTCTACGATTGAAGCAGAACTCGAATGCTTTCAGGCAAAAGTAACCAAGATTCCAAGAACGAAGGCCCGTCATCACCTGTCCAGTTTTCAGTGTTCAGTAGGTTTCGGGGGGGCGAGCGTCTTCGCCCACGCTTTACTATATTCTTGTGGAGACCGCCGGGCATCAAAGGGGCCCGCAGACCACCACGCGTAAGCTTTTTTCAGGAAAAAGCTGGAGATCTTGTGAGGAGTCGCAGACGTCCTGAAGCCTCAGACTTCTCAGAAACCTATATGCCAGGCGCTGCCCCATAGAACCGGATAAACGCACAGCCTCACCTGGCTTGCGCAGCTTGAGGTTTGTTTTGGTCCGTCTGAGCAGGCTCTGCATGATACTCGCATGTTAACTATCCACTTTGCGACAGGCATGAGACTTGAATGGCTCGACACTTCAACCTGCGACTCATTGCCTTAAAAACTGAAGTCATGAGGACATGCAGCCGGCCTTCGCAAATGCTCCACGCAGCCGCTTGCAGTGCTCTTCGAGGTTTCACCAGCTGCTAAGACAGTGGCCTGAGAAAAAGTCACAACCCTACGACATCTCGAACGCATGAACACGTAATGGGCATGCATAAAATTCAATGGAGATGCATCTACTTAATCTACTTGCGTCCACGCCATATGATCGATGCGCCTATATGAAACCGTATCTCTGTAACCTACTTGGATAGAATCCCTACCGTTTGAGCTGCTTGTCTCTCTGTGCACACGCCTTAATTATCTTTCCCATGTTTGCCTTAAGTCCAGTTTTGGTGGTTTTCAGAAAGCACAGCGCAAACACACACACACACACACATACACACACACACACTGATTCATCTGTAGGCTGTTTGCGTTTGTGCTTGATTCTGTTTTTTGTTCTTTGCTCTCACATTGAGGATAACTGTATGTTTCGAAGGAAAGAGTTATGGATGTATAGATGCACATGTACCGAACAGATTTTGCCCAATGATGCATCTTCATGGTTCTATGCCGAACGGCACGGAATGAAGAAGACCTTTGTCTAAGTCGAGCTGCTGGTTCTTTCCACTCGGTAGGTGGTCGGCATGTACACAAATGACCTCGACGTATGTATCGGAGTGCCATCAGAGTTTCCAGAACGTGGAGTGACTGTGTCTGCGACATCCTCAAACGGATGGGATAAAATTGAAGTTGATGTGGCTGAGACATCCTCGAACGGGTCTGGAGCACTAGCATCCGGGAAATGGGCCGTGGATGATGTCGTGGAGTGCACCATTCAGTTCCTGGTGTCGATGCAAGCCACAAAGCCTGAAATCCTTTGAGGGATTATGGTGCATCGATTTTTGCAGCTTGCACCGCTTATGTGGGACGCTTGATGAGTTCTGGTCCCACAGCTGGCAGGTTAACGCTTACCTGAAGTACGTCAACATACTGCACCGGCACAACAACTTCCCCGCCTTTGTCGTAGGTACGCTTTGTGCCTCCACCGCTTATGCACTCTGTGTTGCTGGCATCCTTCCTGACGGACAACCACTGGGACGACTGGCTCTAAGGTTCTGGTCCACTCCTGCGGGTCTCTTGGGCTACTACCTGACGCTGTTCATCTGGCGACAGCAGAAGAAAGCCTTCCTTGACATTGCTTGCATCAACCAGACGGATGAAATGATCAAGGCGGAGGGCCTGGTCAGCATGGGCGCTTTTCTGAAGCACTCCGAGACGCTCTTCGTTCTTTGGGATGTGACATACGTGTCAAGGCGCGATGCATGTAGCTTGTCTTGCCGTAGCCAGGCTGAAAGCCACAGTTTATAACGAGCTCTTCAGACCTACAGCACGCACACAGCGCGCCATGCGCGCATGAACGTGAACGCAAGGTACCTGTGCACATCCGCTCACGAGCACACGCCTTCGTGCCCCAGGTTGTGGTGCCTGTTCGAGTTGGGCGCTTTCTTGCGCAGCAAAGGACTGGGTACAGATGCAGAGAAGCACCTCGAGATATGCCCCGTGTTCGTGGGCCCTGCCCTTTTGCTGGCCCAACTTAGTCTCAGCGCGATGACGATTACATTGAGCCTCGTTCCAGTACAATGGGTACCGTGGGGCATGGCCTTGATTTCGGCTCTTGCATTCCCATTCTTCATGCTGCTCGCATGCGTGGTGCTCATGCATTGTCACAGCATCGAGATGGTGTAGGATCAAGTGCGTCGTTTCACCATTGAGAACTCGCTTTGTTTTTGCTGCAGCTGTGGTCACGTCCATCCTCAAACAGGTTCGGAGATGCTGTGTGACCGCAGCATTATTGTCCGTTGCATTGCGGCTTGGTTCGAGTCTGTCGAGGAGTTCGAAACCATTGTGAGAAGCAAGGTGCTGAAGGTTTTGGTCCATCAGCTGGCTAATCGGGTCTTCTCGTATTGGCGCATAGTGCAGGCATGTGGCCCTTTGCTGTGGCTTTACCTCGACGTGGCGAGCATTAGGGATGCTCGAGCAGCGCTCGAGCTAGCTGCTGTAGGGATCTCATACGTTTTCATGCTTATGCCAGCTATTGCATTGATTTGCCTTCGCCTAGCCTACAAGATGCGCAAACTCTTTCACGGGAGGTGCCGGAAGTTGCTGTTGTGTATCGGTCTGGTAGCTGCAGGAGCAGTGCTGTTTGCTGTCGGCTGGGCCTTCGATTTCTTCTTCCAGGAGCTTTCCAAACTTCATTTCGGGGCCGCCCCGCCTGGCATCTGTGCTTTCGTGGTAATCGTCGGAGTGGTCAATTTGCTGTTGTGGTACTGCTTGCCCGTTCAGACCTGAATCGACGGCTTGAAGAACTTGTAGGCCACCCAGAACTGGATCGAGAATTCGGAGTGGCCGTGGGTTTGTTTCCGCATCGTTTTTAAAGCATGAAGATTCCTGCCGAATTGTTAAGAAGTTTCACATGACTCTGGCTCTCTGACTGGGGACAGAAGAAGATCAGCGGAATCCTAAAGAGGTCAAAGCGTGAATGCGTCAAGCTTCCACCTCTTCATCTGTGTCCCGCTGTTTGTGATGAAAGTGATCACAAACATTCCGGCATGAGTGCGATGATGATACTGTACTAAGAGTTAGTGAAGTAAGTCTTGTTTCAAAGGTCCAGCCTGTGTATATATAGCCTTCAGATGCCTTCAGCTCATCTGCACCGTTCATGATCATGCTGGGCCCTCCTGCGCATAGGCCGCATATCCCCAAGACCATGAAGCCAGCATTCCCAATTCTGGAAACCTGCAAGCATCAGACTCTTACTGCCTTGCATGAACCATAACAATCCACAAAAGGCACCGGATTAGACAACGACCAAGAAGTAGTTCTGTAAGACTTTCGAGCTGATAAAGCCTGAACTTCCACCTGAAGCAAAGAGCCCACGCCTCCTATCCACCCAAGTCTCATTACAAATCCGAAACGTGTAGCCCGAACTGTCAGAGGTCTAGGGTTTTCTGGCTTCGGGTTCCGGCTGCCTTCGATTGACGTAGGCTTGAGGACTTGACTTGGCAGCTAAGTTCGGGTTTGCGCCGGATGTTTCGGGTTTAGGGTTATGTATTCCTGCCCTAAACCCTAAACCCTCTTTCTCCCGTAAACTCCAAAGAAACTCCCTGCGGTGCGACTTGGTCAGCTGGGCGGGTGGGGAAAAAACCCTAAACCCATGCTGAAAAGGGTTATTCTTGCACTTGCAGGCTGTAGTGAGATATGATTTTCGTTTCAGGAAGGTCGGCCCGAGGTGTGGCTCTGGTGGAAGTAGGACTCAATGAGGCCTTGATGAGCTCTTGAATGTGCTGGGCTCAAAAGCCAGGGTGCTCAGGCTTGTGGGCTCCTAAGAACCCGAACGCTATAAGTACAGGCCTTGAACCGCCAAGGTGGTCAGAAGCGTGCAATTTCCCTACGAAAGGCCTAGCCCCAGAAACCTAAACCTGAAGGGGGGTTTAGGTGACCAGGTACTGTGTAGGCGTGCCCTAAACCCTAAACCCTAAGCTCGGGACCTTCNNTTGCCATGCCAGCTTCGTGCGAGTGTGTGTGTGTGTGTGTGTGTCGAAACCCTAAACCCCTGAACCCTAAACCCCTAAACCCTAAACCCCTGATTCCAAATGCGAGGCCGGAGAACCTCAGAAGGCTGCAAGGGGAGTGGCACTCAGCAGAAGCTGGGGCCCCAGGATGATCCCGAGGAGAGACTGTCGGGTTCAGCGGTGTAGGGCTGAGGGCTTGAAAGGGTTTAGGGTTTAGGAGGGAGCTCCTTAATCCCTAAACCCCTCGTATCAGACAGACCTCTCCAGGTTCGTTCCCAGTTGTGAGTGCTGAAACCCTAAAACCAGCGTTTGGCCTTCAGCGGGTCCCGGCAGCAAGGGGACCCGAAGCAAAAACTGTTGAAGGTGCAGGGCTTAGGGCCGTTCGCAGTGTTAGCTTGGATTTGGGACTAAGGCCACTTTGTTTCAACTGAATCCCTGAGGAACGGGATGGGCTTTCAGGAGAGATGCTCTGCTTCAGTCAGATTGTTCCCTGCAGGTTTCTCAGGCGATCCTCAGACTCACTTCCAAATACCGTGCCAGATGTGTTCGCTGGGCAGTTGTTGGTCCGAGACCATTCTTCTGAAGTGCGTCCTGAAACCACGAGAGTTTCCGAAATCAGCAAAAGTTGATACAAAGATAGGATCCCAATCATCAAAATCAATCACTGTGGTGCATCGAAGAATCCCACAGGGGCTCCCCTTCTTGGCCCCCCCCCAAAGTCAGTCGGAGCCGCGGCAAGGGCTCCTGCGTTGGCCAAATCCAGGGTGGCTGCCTCGTTTGGCACCGGTTCGGGACTCAAATTGTCTGAGACTAGGGGTACCTAAATCAGAGCTTCTAACAGTGATCCTACTACAGTACTTCGGTTTGGTATTGAAGCTCCCCAACTATGTGGAGTACTTCAAAAGTCTTTGGATGTAAGACCCGTAGAATCATTGTTGAATGTATCTACGTTTATACACTCAGGCTGCTACAACACACGAGACTTTCCACACGTCAGTGCTCTTGCTCGCAAGGCATGCGATCATACGAGGTTTTGGTGTGACGTAGTTCTGGGCTAGACATTGCAGAATGCGTGGGCAGTCGTTCTGTGCACTTGTCTCCTTTGAGCTCTTTGGGTGCCGGGAGTTTCTGCAGTTTTGATCGTAAGAGAGCAGGAGGGCTAGACATCCTTGGCATCGATTGCGTTGACAGGTAAAGGTCACTGGGGGCTAGCTGCAACGAGCATCCCGTACATGATGCTGGTAGTACTGTTTCCTCCCACTCAGGCCAAGTTTGGTTATTTTTACAGGAACCTGTCGTGGAACTAATGACGGGTTAGCCCATGCTGTGATGTGGCAAGGTCTCTCGGTGCTCATCCCACTAACTTGTTCATGGAAGGCGGCGACGGCCTCAGACCAATATAGATCTGTGTTGCTAAACTTATGTCACAAGAGTGCGACCAGGCCCCTCTGAAGCTAAGGTCGTGTGCTCATGGAGGAGGAGTCCACTACTCATTCGGCCGGGCCCTCAACGAGACAAAGAAACGATGATGCCTGCCCGACCGGAAGCTTCAGAGCAGTTGGGCCCAGGCCGTCATTGATTGGGGCCCGCCCGCCCGAATGAAATGGGATGACGGCGAGGAATGGATTCGTGTCGGAGGCAGTCCGGCACTCATTTGCTAGATGCTCCCGGCAGTAGCTCCTGAGCCGCCCCTGAAAATGCGGAAGTTTGTAACCTGAGGTCCAGAGGAAGGCTTGTCCAACAGCAGACATGCAGAGCCCAGCGGGGATTAAGATGGCCAGTGCGTGATCTGCCTTCATTGAGATTCAATGATTCAAGGCGGAGGTGCTGTGATGTCGCAGAAGCCTGCAAGTTCCATTGGACCCCGTGCTGGCTCAAGACCTGCTCCCGTTTGCAACATGCTAGCTGCTAGCTGCTAGCGTTAACATTGGAAGCTGAGATTGGGCCACCAATCTTCAATCCGTGGCTAGCTTCAGGTGTATCTAGCAACAGCTCGAGAATCAAAAGGTTGCTGGAGTCCGTCTGGATCCTACAAGGCTTGCCGTAGACCATTTTGCAAGCAGCCGCTACGAACTGCACATTCCCGAGTGCATTCAGCGTGTTCATTAGAAGGCTCAGGAAACGACGTGCATGTTCAGGTGTAGGTGCCTGAGTGGCCTGATGTGCCTTTCTTGGTCGACCTGGTGTTTCGCCGGCCTGCAGCCGAAAAGTCTTTCCAGAGCCTCGTGCATCGTGCTTTTGCGGCATGGGGAACGTGAGGACTACATGGCCGAGAAGGCTCCCCGAGCTGGTTTGTAAGATTCTGCCTTCAATCGCTACAGCACTCTTGAATGCACTGCAAAGTCGCAGATCTGAATGATTTGACCCCAAGTACACTTCGACTTCATAGTCACAGCCTGCACTCAATACCATGGTTCCAGGCAGGGAAGGGTGCGGATTGGATTGCCACCGCAACACGCCCCTGGGACCCGCCGCTTGCGGCCAACGGCCGCCTCCAAGCCGCAGCCGCGGCCACCCGCCTGCGCCAGGCAGGGCACTGCTGGGGTTGGAATAGGGTTCTAGGAGAGAGCGGCGGTGGCGGTGGTGGGTGGAAGTGGTGGTGGAAGTCGTGGTGTTGGTGGTGTCGGCGATTTTTGCGTTGCTGTATCTTGTAGTCTTTGTAGTTATTTTTCGGTCTCAGGTCTCGTGCTAAACGACCGCGCGGCTGACAGACCTCTGAGTCCGTGAGTCTACGAGTGAGAGACAGAGCGAGACAGAGAGAGAGAGATAGAGAGAGAGCAGAGAGAATGTTGCAATGCCCTGACACCTCGAACATGCGATAGAACAAGATGCACTGCTAGAGCAGGTCGGTCCAGGAAGTTGAGGTATGAATACTTGACGCGATGAGGGTCTTTCGCCGGTAGCTCCTTGAACTCCCTCCAGTCTCCAAAAGCGTATCGTGACTGAACTTGTCACCCCGGAGCCTTAAGGCATTTCCAAGGAAAGGACAGCCTAGGACTAGAAGTTCAGTTGTGCAGTCACCTCTTGTCCCCAAGTGCTCCTGAGGTGCTTCAGGGAGCAGGGATACCTATGCCCACTCAGATCTTTACCTCGCCACTGGTGCGCTGTGTCGAGACGGCCGATTTCGTTGCCAAAGAGTTCGGTGTGAGCTCTTTGCAAGTGGAGGCACTGTCGGGCCCTGGACTGGGCAGGTAGTGTTGCGGGGTCCTATAGTTTTTCCGGGAAAGTCACCCAGCACTGCAAAGAGAGCAGCATGAGGCCAGGCCGTTACTCTTATTCAGTCAGCAAGCACCAGTTAGAGCTAGACAAGGATTGTGCAAGTCGCCCGACGATTCTGGTGTCGAGTCCGTATGCTGGTTCAGCACCAAATTGGGGTCCCTTTTCGGGTCCCCCAAATAGTACGGCACTGTTGCACAGAGGATCCTAAAAGGGACCCTACTTTGGAGAACTGCCCTTTTATTTGCTCGATCCCCGCCTCGTTGAGTTCTGAGTTCAGAGCCTCATCGGTCCTGAAGCCGCAGTTTCATGAGTCGCTCGATCATATTATGTGGTCTGCCTGACATGCATAGTCGGTAGGCGGACGATGTCACATATGGGCGAATGAGGGCTGAAGCGATGTTTTTGCAGAACGGCCTGGCCGAATCCATCTACGAAGCGTGGATGCGGTGGCGTGGCGTGATTTTCGGAGTTCTGGCATTTCCCCTCCTTTTGGCTTCAAGGCTGTTGCATTCTTGGTTCACACACTGGTCTTAGTAGCAAGCCTTCTGTGAGTAATTACTCGAGTTGTCTCTACTTTTAGTATGTTTTAGTATTTGTCCAGAATCCTTTACACTCCAGCCTGAAGGCTGCAAACACATCCCTCAGCAACAAGGCAGTGGGCTGTGCCCGGTGCCAACTCCAAATGGGGTGGGCCACCCGGATGTGCAATCCCTCAGGACCATACCCACTCCATGGAATGTTGTCGCCTAAACATATTCAGGATATGTCGGATTTACGGTGTACTAGTTGCGCCATCGCAAATGCATTGTGCACGGGTCCATATTTCTGGGATTCTCGGATTGTAACATACATGTTCAGAGTTGTCGGTTCAAGTTTAGCGTTGCAGATGCCCAGCAGTAAAGGGTCGTTATGTCAGGGGTGCATGCGTGTAGGCTCGGAGACTACGTGCGCCTTGTCGGGGATTGCGCAAGGTCTGTGTCCATGTGTCCATGCATCACATGGCGGAGTTTGATGCGGGCATTGAAATTGGCTAGAGTCGGCATCACACCCCCCCACCCACCCTCCCGACCATGCGTCCAGGAGCGTCAGGGCATGGACCCTCGGAGGCTACGTGGGCCAGAAGTTCCACATCCCGAGCTACGACCCGAAGCCCTCTCAGGCACCAAGTTCCTTTGGATCCCGGTTTTCTCCCGTTAGGTTTTGGACCGTGGGTGGGCAACTTCAGATCCGCAGGCTGCATCAGATCAAGCAAGAGGGCTCCCGACCTTTCAGTTCCCACAAGCCGAGACAGGAGTACGAAGCCGTGAGCTGTTATGCTGGGGGGACAGAGAACATGACGTTAATTAAGGCTTCAGGCAGGACTGAGGTGCACATAATCATGGACATCGGGCCTCACAGACTCCCCACAGAAAGGGCTTCCGGAGTTTCCGTTTTTGCGACTTTAGGCTTAGATTAACATGAACATTGCTCTTTTTACCGTTTAGAGCCGCGAGCCAGCAAGATGAGGAGAGTCCCACAGGCATCTCTGTCAGCATCCCAGCATCAGCTCCTGCTGACTCGAACCCCAAACTGTGAGTTTCAACACATGCCTCCTGAACCTTTGGCTTCGCCGAACCGAGATTACTTTGCTCCTTCCCCTGCGGACCCTAGAAGGGCAAAAGGAGCATAACCCCCTAAGTGTCGCACAGCATCGCAAAGCCATCATTATCTTTCGGCGCCTCTCGGAGCAATAACACAGAAGCTCTTGTAGAGCCCTACAAGTGCGACCGTCGAACTCCCCTTAACCCTAGACCCCCAGCCCAAGGCCCTGAAACGCTCCTTTCCACGGCTGCCGAGCTCCAGAAAGCGGGTTGGAGCCGAGTCGATGGGAAGTCTCAGAGCGTCGTGCTGCTGCACGACACACGGCCGATCATGATTATGGCATTATGGGCTTGATGATGATGTCTTGTAGAGTTTATCAGGGTTTGGCAATGGTCGATTGTACAGGTGTTTGTGTAGCGTGTACAGTGGATGGGATGTTGCACTGTTTACAGATTTGGGTTGTTTGGGGTTCAAGCTAGGGCGTAAGGTGTGGGTGCAGGTGGGAGAAGATCGAGAGCTTCTTGCTTCGAAAGCTGAAGCTTGTGTTGTAATGCGTGGCTTTCAGACTCTTTGGCTTGGCTTCCTGCTGGAATTCCGACTTCCTTGATGTCGTGCCATAGAAAGCCACGAACATAAAGCCATAAAGCCACGATGGGTTGCAGTGTGAATTGCGGGTACTGTTGGGGCCACCGGACTGATCGAAGATCTGTGCTTCTTTTGTAGGCCTCAGGTTTGTCCTCAGCTTTTTGAACTAGCAACGAGTCCCCTAAATCCTATCTGTGGGACATCATCTGAATAACTGCTCAGAGCAAGTGTCGGACCGCGCATAGCTGTGACTGGAAGTGTTTGGAAGAAATCTGTGTATGTATGTGTATACATATTATGCACTAATCGTAACAATACTTACCATTAGCAATAAACAGAATAATGACAACAGCATTGATACAACATTAATAAAAGCGACAATACTGATTATACTGTTTCTAGGTGATAGTAATGACAGCAACAATGACAGCAATAACAAGAATAGCACGGACTAAGGACAAAGGCTATTGCTGGGACAACTTTGAGATTCACGAGGAGGTGGTCGAGCGCCTTGTTAGTGTGGCCCGGCGCCGGGCCTTGGAGCACTCAGGGGAAGCAGAGCTGCACTGAAGGGAATTTGAGGATGCATGGTTGCAGACGTGGGAACCGTAATCGATCGTGAAAGAGTGAATCTACAAGGTAGGCTGGAAGCGAGTCGTCCGAAGCAGTGTCGCTACAGACCTTGCCAGGCTATGAATTTCAAAAAAATCGATCGGGAAAGCTCTATTTGTCTTCTCGACTGGGTTTTAATTTTGTTCTTCGGGTTTCTAGTTCTTTATGCACTCTGCCTCCACACCTCTTCTCGTGCTAGTAGTTATAGTGCCGGCCTTGTCCTTCCTTGATGCTTGCGGGTTCTCTTCCGGCCCAGCATGCGAACAGAGTACGCAGCAATACCAGTGCACAAGGGATTGGGGGGCAGGGTGCAGCATTAAGACCCTTGCTGCCCAAGCATGTCAGTGCGGATTTAAAAAAGAAGCTGTACCACGGCTATACTGATTGAACTTCGAACATAGAGTCTTAGAAGCTGATAGCATGATATAGCAGTATAATATGGGGAGTTCCGAAAATAGGTGACCCGAATATAGTACCCTAAATAATAGGATCCCTATTATAAGGACCCCCAAATAAGGTACCCTAATTTTCTGAAACTCCCATATAGCATGTTGTCGCCCAGGCTCCTCAGGGTCTTTTCAACCCTGGGGCGGCTTTGGCTCATTCCAAGATGTCGACCCCCCTGACAGTCTTGTCTACTATATATTGTCGTATATTATACACTTCAAATTTAGATACAATACGCTGCAAGCTAGTATAGAACTATAACAATATATGGCACTATATTGAAATATCTTACAGTATATCATATTATGTTAGATTATATCTTGGAGCA